GATTTAAAGTTACCTTCAATGCCTGTGAGTCTAGTATACTTTCAGGGAGCCTCAAACTTACATAATAAATTAATTGGCATGTTTTATTTTGAAAGAAAGTTGTTTATCTAGGTTGGGATATCAAAATTATCACAAGGGATAGCAAAGGTAAGTTCGAGCGATATACACTTAGTATGGATAGTTAACGAGTTCAAGAGGGTAAATTTGCTGCGGCTTTGACAAAAATTGCTTGAACCGGCTAACAAGGAGCGCATGTAGTATTCAGCCTCTGAGATATCAGGTGAATGAATAATATTTGCCGCTTATTTTACAAAGTCTCTATGTTTGAATAGTTAGGCAGTGTCATAAAAGTACATTAGTCATGGCCCGTCAGAGATCTATTGAACAACATGGCTGGGCCGAAGATAGATCTACTAGTTTGTAATCTTTGTCTGTATTGGGCTTGAACCTCTGGAATTTTGGGCTTGCAGTCGGCTGAGCTATCAAGATGTAGGATTTATGCTCGAATTCTTCATGACACTGCAAAATGGAGGCTCTGAAAGAGATCACGACTAGCCATTAATGCACGAACGCAACTTTTTCGAATGGTAAAAAAATAGAGTGTGTAGATAGCGTGTCGGCTTGAGTTTTTGTGAGCCGGTAAAATTTTGCAATGGAAAAATGTAGCCTGTGTTACTCAAAGATAGTGCCCGTGGACGGGCTAGACCGGAAGGGAGGAATGTTGGATCTGGTGCAACCGTAATATATTTTTAAACTTGAGTCCAACTGAGGCTTGTATCCCCCCATCAAGTTGCAAGGCTCGCGGAGCCTAGTATGGTAGTGGTGATTGTAGGGAAGTATAATGATATCTTCCATGTCCTCTTCATAAGTGAACAAAGATGGGGCAGCCAAATATCGCATCAAACTTGAGCTGACTAGATAGAGATGCTAAGCCAGTTTGGGCAATATTGATCTGAGGGAGTTATATGATGTCCTGATCATTACCAGACTTTTTTAATGTTTATGAAGCCATTCAGGCAATTCTCGTAGGTCGTGCTGTATCTCCGCATCTCGCCACTCAAACCTAACTATCGTCGCTGCGAATCCCATACATGTTCCTCTTTTTTTCTGATTCCAGTCGCCGACGAGAGAGAAGGCGAGACGATTGAGGTGCCTTGCAGTCATCCCAAGTGTCACTCTAGCATTTAGAGCCCAGTATGACTGCAGCCCTATGTGCTGGGCTCAATGCAGCCAACTCCAAGCATGAGAGGGGGCGAAAGGTCTAGGAATACGGAGTCCGGTGAAAGAAATGCGCAGCAAGCACACTCGATCTCTCCACAAATTCAAGAGTCGTGTGATATGTAGCGGCAAATCGACAATACCATCTTTACCGAGTAGATCGCTGGGGGTTGCTTCGGTAATCGGATCTATGGAATCGCTCGAGCCTTAGAGAAAAGGAAGACCAGGGCGCGAGTGAATGCCAGTTGAGGCATCGTACCGTGTATCCTGTGAGATGGGATACAGATGCCTTTGAGATTGAAGAACGACCAAGTGAGGCGAGGACGTATACCCCGACCCCTGGACCTAGACGTCGAATGTTCCCAGATGTAGCGGCTGGTTGCAGCTGGTACGTGCAGCAGTTCTTTCATGTAGATGATAGATGGGCTCTAGTTCCTGTTGCTTAGTAATCAGAATGTAATGGTCTCAAGGGGAGTTAAAGATGCAAACGTCTACCATTGGCGAGTTGGAAGCTCGACCCTGAGCTGACTATGCTGGGAAGTAGCAAGTGGCTGTGTTTTGCAGATAAGTTGTAAGTGGCCTTACCATTGATGCCGACGGACAGTGAAGGAAGTATTTCTCAGGCTGCCCTTCAAGTATTCCGTACCCCGAGTCTCGATTTAGAGGGCGGCAGATTATATCGATCGCATCGTGGGCGTCATCACAATCCCGGGCGTACTACCATTAGCCTCCCCCAAAACGCCGACAGTACCAGTCGCCTTTTATGTGCAAGACTGCTAGCCGCGTTGGGGGATTTGAAAGCCCTCTATGCAACAGCGGGCTAAGATGAACCTGATCGTGCTGGTCGTCTGTTTTTCGATACCTTCAGCTGGCGACTTACTGAGGACAACTTAGATCTTGCGCGCCACTGCTGCCCTAGCACAAGCTCACATTCCGCAGCCGGTGACAGAGCAACGCGCGACTGTCAGGCTTCTTCCCATGGCTGTGATGAATGGCCCAGACTAGCCTACAGATGGCATCCTGTGGATGGACAGAGGTCTTCTTGGCATGAAACCGTAATTGTGTGCATATTAATAGATACCCTAAGAAAACGATCAGGAATGAGCCTGAGTTTCCCCTCGTTGGCACGGACACGGAAATGTGAGCCTTGCCGGCTGCAGAGTTCCGGATGCAGATTGACCCCGGGCCTGAGCAACATGGCGCTTGAAAACGTCCCCGTCACCACCCACCATCGCTGTCTTTACGCCAAGGGATCCAGTTGTTTTCACTGAAATTGCACGGTCAGATGCGGCCAACTTCCTTCTGCCAGTCTTCTACATCTCCCCTCAGGGTCTGTCTCAGCCCGTCTCGCCCACCCATCCGCGCTCGTTCTGCCTTGGCCCGACTTCCGGGAGCGCACGAGTCCTTGCCAGATACACTGTCTGGTACATTTGGCGTGCCAGGAATGGCCAAGGAGAAGATTGCTGTCGCTGCTCAACGACTCGACGCAAACCCTACGAGCCCCAGCCGTCCGGACAGTCTTCGCCACGCCCGACTCATCACCGTCCCGGCTCCGTCAGTGTCTATGCTAGACCTCTCGCGCTACCAACACGCGTTGGGAAGAACGCGCCATGGTTGACGCGACAAGCATCGCTCCCGGTAATCGTTTACCCACAGATGCAATGGCAGTTCGTCCTCCAAGACAAGCTAACTGAGCTTTGCTCCGGATGGTACGTCGAAGCTTTCCTTCGTCGACGCCTTCGATGAACTCTCCGGAGCCCGAGACGATGACCCAATAACCATTCCTGTAAAAACCTCCTCTTCAGCCCGAATCTTCGTCGAGAGAAAAAAAGAAAAATGACCCAACCAGTTGTCGTCGTCGTTTTGGAGGCCTTGGCTCACCAGGGTGGCCGACAGGAGACGAGGCGGATCCGGGTGGTGGGAACTGCAATTGGTGTCGGCACACTTTGCGTGTCGTAATATTTTCGTAGCTCACCAAGTCACATGACAAAAAAGCAAGCCTCCAAACCCGGCTACTCAGCAGGGGTACAGTCAGTTTGTCGCCGTTTATGATTGGACCGCCGACAGCTGAGGCTTATTTTGAAGGCCCCAGGATCTTGCCAACGACGCGCCAGACATGCGAGTTTGCTGGGCCCGGTGAAGTCACGTGAATAATACTGTCACCAATGTGGATCACAGGATATCTTACGTACACTTGTCCACATGGCTTGTCTGGTTCTGAAAGGGCTGCGATAAACATTGCTCATCTGAGAGGGCAGACCCCCGTCTCAGAAAAGATGGGGGCTTTTATCCTTCCAGTATCGCCTACGCCGATCGGTCTCAATGGCCCCGCCTATATTCCTCTCTGACATTAGTCCAGGTACGCCGCGTCCTGCCAGAACATCCTGTCTACCAGAACGCTTTGCAGAGGATAAAGACAGCCGATTACAGGTGCAACGACGCCATACCTTTAGCCCCTAAAAGACGCGATAATATCGTGGTGCAGACTACAGACAAGAACGTATCTAAGTGCTAAATTTTGCGCAGTCCATGTCGCGTGTCGGCGCCGTCGTCGCATGGGGCGAGAGAATCTACATGAATTCGAAAATCTCATGGCTGTCGATTATCTGTCGCGGTCTCAGCGAAAGGTAGTCTCATCTTCCCCGCCCGTCGCAAAATTAATCTCAGCGTACGTAGGTGAGGGCATGTTAGATTCACGCTCTCCACTTATTGAACCAGATCAACTAGAGCGGACCGTGTTCAAGAGCTCATATCATGCTTCTTGGCACACAGGCCGGTTTTGAATCTGCGGGTGCTTCGCTCTAGTTTTCTTCCTCCTTACCAGCTAACCCCTTAGCGTGTCGCTTTTAAGGATCCGCCAAGCTTGCGGTCCGAATGTAGATGTGATTAGGCAAGTAGTTGTAGTGCTGTAGATTTCAGGTCTATCCTGATATTTTGTCGCAGCGAATGTGATATCGCTGTAGATGCCAAAGTGCTCGAGCGTTGTGATAAGAAGTATCAGGTGGGACATAGATATCTCGAGTCTGTGGAAATACCAGGGCTTCATGTGTGGCGCAGTACAGAATTAAAGAAGAATGAGAGCAGGCTGGTCCGCGAAGATGCAAAGAGTGGGAATGCGCAGGACTCTAACCACCAGGTTGTTAGGAAAAAAGGCAGGTGAAGCAGCAGCAGCTGTGTGCTAGGCTTGATAGGTGAGCGGTATCCGTGAGCGGCTGGTTACGGTCCCGAGAAAACGAAGGGGGAGGGGGCGCTGAAAACTCCATTGATTCCAGTCAAGAGAATATTCCGTAGCCAGCCGGCACACCCCAGCGGCGAGCGGCGACAGCTTCAAAAAATAAATACCACAGTTCAGGCGTGCGTGATTACCGACTTCTCATGAATTGACCGTCGGTAGATGGGCGCATTACGTACGTTATGTGCTATGGTACCGTTTAGAATATGTGAAGGAGCTTGGAGGGGTTAGTTAATAGCGTGGTTTCTGATATCAGCAGTTCGTCTATAAAGACGTCCTGGATCTTCTTCCAGTTCCCATTATCCACAACCGTTTAAGGGGCAGAAAGTGCCTACAACTTCTACTGCCCGCTCAACCTACTCATCTACCCACTAATACCACTTGACATAAGTCTACCGCGGCTCGCCAGATCCAGACCCCAGTCCATGACCATAACAATCACCCATATCCAAATAAGGCAACGATCAGCAAAGATCATCATCGACCATCACTTGGAGGAGTTTTCCCCTTAAGTCACCCACCTCGTCTACCGTCCCTCACCGACGTGGCCATGATTTCCCATACGATATCTGAAACTTCAGTCTTGGAGATAGGCACCACTATGGCGGCTTCAAACATTCTTAAGGTCACCAACAGATGTATGTCACTTCCTCTCTCACATCCACTCAATTAAACGCATTCGATATCTAACCCTCAACAGCTCCGCATCGGCCCATCAAGAATCTACCGCCTACAATTGAAGTAGCAGACGACGCCACAGTCCTTCAAGTCAAGGAACAATTATCACGATTAACTCGCCTCTCTCCTGATCGTTTGGGTATATTCGATCCAGAAAAGAAGAAGATACTGCGAGATCGCAAAGCATTTATTCTTCATCAAGATGAGATTGCTACAGAAAGAGAGATACTCGTCAAAGACTTGGGCACGCCCACCTTCCATTATCAACTAGACACTGGCTAACTTCTAACTACTGCAGGCCCTCAGCTATCCTGGACGACAGTTTTCATTATTGAGTACCTAGGTCCCATTCTACTTCACTTCCTTGTCCCTTTTGTCTTACGCCCATACATATATGGCAATCGAGAAATACCTCCACTTTCAGCTTCACAATATCTTTCGTGTACCATGATCGTGCTGCATTTCCTGAAACGTGAAATCGAAACAATCTTCGTTCACAAATTTTCACTATCAACTATGCCGCTGCGCAATATCTTCAAGAACTCGGCCCACTACTGGATTGGATCGGGAGTAGTCTTGGCTTACTACGTTTATCACCCTGCTTCATACACCCAACTTGAGTCAGAAACTATTAACTATGTCAACATGGTGGGTGTAGCCTTATACATATTTGGTGAAATTTCCAACGCCCATGCCCATCTAACACTAAGCCGATTACGGAGCAAGGGTGGAACTGAAAGGGGTGTTCCTAGAGGATACGGATTCGAGTGGGTCACTTGCCCTAACTACCTGTTTGAGATCATCGCCTGGATTGGTATAAACTTAGTCACAAAGAGTATCTCGACAATCATCTTTATCGTAATCGCTTGGGCTCAGATGCACCTATGGGCCAAGAAGAAGGAAAAGGCGCTCAGGGCCGAGTTCCCAGATACATACAAAAAGAAGCGGAATGTTATCTTCCCTATTTTCTAAGGATTACATATGTAAGAATTTTATGTAGTTATGACAGCTGTCTGGTTTTCTTCACCCGATTAGTGGTTACAGGCAGGCGTACCTAGATTTATCGGCTCATTGTGGGAGTGCTATTTGGAGTTGAGAAAAACTGTTTATTATTATGCTTACTGCAATTCGACCGTACGACTAAGGAAAGATTTATACCTAATGTATAATCCCCTACTGTTGTCTAGTCTCCGGGCAGGATATCTGGGAAGTCGGAGGCTCTAGGGTTTGCCGAGGAAGAAACAAGCAGTAGTAACGCTCGGCCTTTAATTTATCTTTACTCGGAATTAATTGTTATTTATGATTATTTCGGTTCGTTTCAGTCAGTGCAATCTGTGAATTTGATGACATATCCTACTTGGAATACTACGAGACAGTTGATTAATGGAACGCGAGTTGAGACTAAGCCTGGGAAAAAAGGAAGAATGATGTACAGGAGGTAAGTCTAGTTTTTCAGATAATGATGGGCTGTAGAGCAGACTCTAACCGCATCATCGTTGGAGTAGGCCTGCTCGTACCCCGCATCCTTGAACCAGTCGAAGTGCAGCACGGAATAATTTCCAATGTTAGCAACGGCAAATCAACTGAGACTATCACACGACTGGGAAAGCATTCCGAGCGGTTGACACACCCTCAGCAGATCATACGACATGCGGCAGATTCAAATGGCGCAGCTTGCCTCGCCCACGAAAATAGGAGACAACAAGTTACCTCTCCTGTTGCAGTTCGACTAAGTCATTTTCGGTCTATTATATTTTCAGTCTACTCGAAGTTGGAATCACTTTTACTTGTAGAATTAGACCTCATTATTGCTTTGAGCGTCCCGTGCCAAGCGTTCAATCAAGCTATATCCAGTCATGAACATCTCAGGGAAGGCGTTCAGTAGGATAAAAGGGGGTGGTAATGGTTCTATGTGCAGGAATACCGCATAGCAAAATGTGTTTAATGCGGATAAAACTTGCATCCCGTACAGACAGCTGCACACGTTGACGCCTCTAGGACTGCTGCCAATCGGTGTTTTTCATCTGATCTTCGTAGATATCCGCGTGTCATCACATTATGATTCCTACCAAGATCATTGCCGGCTAAAACAGCGCGCAATTGTCGAAGGCAGATAATATAGATTGAGACATAGCTCTTTCACGGCCGTAGAGCCAAAACCAGCCTTGAACCATATACACTAATTCTTTTGTACGCCATGGCACCATTCTCGCTCTCCGCGGCATCTGGGCAATTGGTCATCGAGACCCCACGCGCATGGGACAGTTTCATGGCTGGCCTCGCGTGTATCTGGTTCGGGACACCTAGACTAATTAAATCGGCAACTGCTAGTCTCTTAATGTTAACAAGAGATATAAACTTCGTGGGAAATCTTTAGTTGTACAAGGATGTTGAAGGCCATTATCTGGTTTACAGTTTTGTGAATAGGGGATGACTGCCTCACGCTGCAGAACCGATGTAACTTGTAGAGGCGCGAGGACTGCACGTAGTTTTCTTTGCTTCAGTGTCATGTAAACTTGTAGCTCTGCTCTGCTCAAGCCGAGCATACTGTGAGCATCCCGTAATTCCAATTCAGTGCATAGTGTTATCCAGCGCTGGCAGATCGTTCAAGATACTTAAGCACGCCAGAAGGATAGCCGCTTAGTCTCACGTAAGTCTGCTAATCGAGCCATGCAGGTCGAGTATCTGATTATTGCAGATTTCTCGACAGCGCAATCAGATCTGGATCTAAGTATCCTTGCAGTGTGCCTAATCATCACAATTGTCTGCGTCGCATATGTAATAAGCTCTGTAGACTCCACCGACAGGTTATTCCTGTGCTTTCTGGAAGTTTGCCTCACCACTAGCACTAGAAGCTGTTCTCTGCATGGGCGCAAGGCACGAGACCCTTTGATCATCTAACTTCAGTCTCATTGAACTTCGGGAGCGCAAACGACATGACATTTGCTCTCCACCCGGAACATTTTCGCCTCAAGTTTTTGACCGACATGAATGACATCAGGATTCCAAGGACACCGGGATTTTGACGTGCCAATGTAGCCGTCGTATTAACCTGGAGAAGTGTTAGACCCTCCTTTTCGTTTACCTTGTCCAATTTCGTAACACCTGGCCGTAGGGTCACAATTAAATGTTACCTCATTATAGAATATTATTTCCTCAGGTTTCTACGGCAACTCTAGAGAGATCCGATCCGGGAATACTTGATCGGGACCAGATGTATAGGGGATAGGGCTAGACTTTATGTTTGCCTAAATTACTGTTGGTAATTCTACGCACCCGCATTCGCATCAGCTGCCCTGGTTATCGGGCCGGATCGAGTTGAGGTTACCAGCCTCGCGGCTCACGCTAATGGTGACCCAGCCGCAAGGAGGAGACCTAACGCTAGGCCGTGAAAAGACGTGGAAGCGACCTCAACACGACATTGAAAAAGGAAAACTTTCCTGCGTCAACGCGCAACAACTCAAGCGGTCCACTCTTCATTCTCTCTTTCTAGGCTTAGGTAGGTGTATCCTTCTTCTCCAAACCCAATTCACAAGTGCTTTCATAAATCAACAGGAATTTGTAGCCGTGCCGTAGCTGACTGGAAAGACCGTCGATGATTCCCCAGCCATGCCCGGCCCTCTTCTGCAATGGCTTACCAATTTAGGCTTTCGGAGAAAACCCGCAGCATGTCCATTTCACGAACACTCGGAAGTCTGCACGCTGTCGTCATGGATCGTAGGCTCCCAGACGTCCAGGCATTCTGCACCAGCTGTAGATCGGCTAAAGCCAAGGCATCAGGGGGTAAAAATGATGACCCCTCGACCCCAGCTATAAGCTGCAGGTACAGTTCAGAACAATCCATTGGCTTGAAAATGAAATTCAATTACGGGTATTCAAGAGCTTCTATTAACAAAACATTTAACCGCGCTTATTTATCATCGAGATGACAGTAGTATGCACGTACATCTAATTAAACTCAAGTCAGAAGTCACTCTAGTCTCCTATGTACCAGATTTAAAACATATGGTATGTGTCTCATACCAAACATACACAATACAGGTCGTCACGGCTATCGCTACTCAGTGTTTCATCTATCCCTATCAGCAGCACTGAACACCTGTACGCGGTGTCCTCAACGAACCTGGGAGTGAAATATTCTCCCAGAGCCAAGTTCAATCAAGTTTCGCAATACCGAACAATTTTGCTCACGAAGCAATGATTCAAAATACTCCACCACTTCAATTTTTCGCTGCCAACGAGATCGAATCCTACCTAAGTCTCATCAAGCCTACAAGTACAACCAAGTACATCCTCATTCCAATGATCACACCTCCTGTCGACTTTCTCAGGCCTCGGTTGACTACCAAATACACGCCCACGCCGATATTTACACCCGATGAAGGAATCAAAATGTTGCGCACGAATCTGGGAGATAGTTCTTTGGGATGGACGTCAGAGAGATTAGGACGAGTTCACGAGATGATGCAGAGGATGAATACAGTCTTGACGGGCGTGAAATTTCGAATTGTGGCATGGAGTGTTTACAAATTGAGCTTCGTGTGTGCCAAGGCTTCGATCGCGAGAGTACAGGCGACACTCTAACCACCGCCATGGCTGGATGGTGCGTCCATCGTCTTGGCCGGACTCTCAAGCAGAATCTGGATAGCTTGGACACATATTTCACTCGAGACAGTTGATCGCTTGTTCGAATCCGGCAAAACATAACCACATTTCTCGCGGCGCTGGTATGCATGGATGACGAAGGCATGCTTAGATTGCCAACGGTTTCGAAATTCCCTTTGGTGGGTACTTACGCAGGAGGGTCGACTGTTTGTGTAAGCAAAATACCTCATAGTAGTATCTGCGAATGAAATCCAGAGTATGAGTGTCTCTAACGTCAAAAGATTTATTCAACATGTATACATAGCACCGGTCATGTGTCATAGCTAGATAGCTGCATACACATTAAATGATAAAAAAAATACTTAACACAGCTTGGTTATAGATTCGGCTCAAGAGGTACCTAAAATCTTCGGCAGGCTGAAACATACCGATGAATTTTATGTTACAGTTTTAGTTGATCATTGCCCTCATTTTATCAACAATATCGGGATCAATCAGCATCACGCAACTTGCATTTAGTCATACACCCATTTATAAGTCCATTTATCTGCCGACAGTACCAATACGTAAACATTATGTAGACTTTAGATTTACGACTATGGAGAAACAGGTGTTATATATAGAGCCTTTCCATCTTCTCATATCGAAATGTTATGAATCTACTTATTGGCAGATTTTCGAAGCTGTTAAGCTGCAGAGGTCGAGTCGATTTCGACGAAGACAAATTATCGAAGTCTCGAGGCTACGAAGTTGCGAAGATGCGAAGGTGCGAATGAAGGTAATCGAGGCTCGAATTATCAAAGGATACGAACTCATATGTTCAGATCATCATATTATCAAAATATCAAATTCCCAATCAGCAAATTATCTAAAAAACAAAAAAAATTGTTAGAAATAAAGAACAAATTCAAATTTCCAGCCTGAACAAATCTAAGTCCCGATGCCTCAGACCTAGCCGAATTAAGAAGATAACCCCTGCACCACCACATCCAGATTAAATTTAACAAATTCATAACACGAAACGTTGATCAGCTCACGTATTTTGGAGCACAGAAATAATAAAAACTGCCTGTATAAAACACAGGAATACTGGGTAGCAAAAATAATGAGCAGCCTAGAAACCCCATGCATGCGTCACTACGAATAATTTATGATCAATACCTGCGCGGCCCTGTGGGCCAACTTTACACTCGTGTTCAGCCTACACGACTTAGACTGAGTGTTCTTGCGATATCCCAAGACGCTGCATGAGAAGAAAATTAGTTACGGAGCTGAGCTTTGATTAAATTATAGTCATCTAGTACCAGAGGCAAAGAAAAAATTCCTTCAATTGATCAATTCTATGATTTTTCATACAGGAATGGAGC